CTTCCATAAATTCAAACAAATCTAACAAAAAACGCAAAGGTTCTTCAATTGTCCTATCTTTCACGAAAGCCGATTGATTTGGGTGTACAAGTTTGGGTAAGAAACTCATCATTCTGTTACTTAACGCCTTACTACATATTTTTACGTCTACGTTAATCAAAGAAATTGGCCGCCAATTTTCTAACAATCTTACATCTTTGTCAGCCTTCTCTAAGAGAGTTACAGTGACCTGTCTTTGGGTTGTAGATAGAAGTCCTTTTTCGAAACTATAATTAAAGCAGTCAACCATTTCCTTTCCAAGTGAGTTCCAAAATGCTGTATAAAATTCTTTAGTCAAACCATCGTTTCCGGGGGTTTTGTCGTTTCCCATCTTTTGAAGACTTTCATAACACTCTTGGATTGTTAATAGGCCCTCGCATTTCTGCATTTCTTCTTCATTAAGTTTTGGAGTTTTCAACTTACTTATGTAGGAAAGGCATTCTTCTTCACTAACTAAGTTTCTACGGGAAAACATATCTCCATAAAAATTCTTAATTGTTTTAAGTATTTCTTTTGAGTCGGTGGTTTCTTCGCCGTTTTGGTCGACAATTTTACGTATATGTGTTTTAGATTTTCTTCTTTTTTCAAGGTTCAGAAAAAATTTTGAACTTTTTTCGCCGTGCTCAACCCAAGTTGCTTTAGATCTTAACATAAGACCTTCTATTAACTTATCACTTCGCTCGTTTAATTGAACACAACCATCATTACATGACTCAGGGCTCATGACTCATCTACCCTTTCAAAGCCAAAAAAGCTTGAAAATCATAGAATTGATATGACATCATGTTGACGTCAAAGTGACAATTTGGCATGTAAGGACTCTCCTGGATATGCCCATGTGACTATCTTTTTCAGGACTACGTGGTTCTTCTACCCGAGGATTATTACACAGCATCTGCATTAAGACACACAAAAGTAAAGCCATGCAAAGCATACCCTAGCTTTAACGAATATTGCAGTATGTTCAAGTACTTTTCGACGAAGAGCTCGCAGGTCGTATACGGTATTCACGGGTTTGTGGATAATGGTCAGCCGGTCTACAAGTACACGGAACCAAAATATGAACTTCAGAGACTTGCCTTTGGAAAAAGTATCTCTTTGCTTGGACAACGSCAGGTGAAAAAAACTAAAATGAAAACTTATAGTCTTTGTTGAATTCCCGTAATTATAGGCCGACCCAATCGTGCTTAACATAGATACGGGCCGTTTACACTTGCGATTTTTACAGCGCGATTGTCGCGAGACAATCGCCTGAGTTTCGAACATGCTTGAAATTTAACTGCAACTCGCGGGAATTTTCGATCGCCGCGACAGTAGCAGGGCTGTTTACACTGCGCGAGAACAAAGTGGCGATTGTCGCGCGACAGTCGTACTGCAAAAATCGCAAGTGTAAACGGGCCTATAGGCCGTGCATAAGAATAATTGAATGAATGCCAGAGAACAAATCTTATATTTTTGTAATTGTAGAAAGAAATCTACTTTGAGATCCAAGAGCAAAAAGCTGGTTTATACATACTTCTTATAAAATATCTTCAACCAGATCGTAAAGTTTATCAAGTTGGTGTGCGTCACGGTAAAGATAACGGGACATTAGTCGCTCTACCGTGCAATTATCGCTTTGCCTGTCAGCAGGTTGTTACGGATGTTCAAGGCGGGCCAATGAGGTTTAACTTTAAAGGAAGACTTTTTAGAAACAAAGTGAGGCTGGTTGCACCTCCAAAGGCACGACTGGGAATTGTAAGTAATCTGTAGATAGTTGAAAAAGTGTTTTAGGAAGGTAATGGATTATTTAAAACGCTCATTTTAAATTCAAAGAAATTCTTATCGATTTTACCATGAAACTAGACGCTTTGTAAAGCGTGATGCGGGCTAGCTTAGCAAAAGATTGACAATACAAGATAAAAATTGTATCTCCAATGAATATTGTGACTATGACGTAACTATATATGAAAGTAAAATATGCCGATGAATACCTTAGTTTTCTTTGCAGTTCAATTCTTATCGTTAACCTTCACTGTCTGCTATAATCTTATCATAAGCTATATCAACTATCAACCATAATCTTTGTGCTATAGTGATTGTCCTACATTTGCAATGTATTTTGTAAAAATATTTATGGAAGCTCTTTACTTCTTGGTTAGCGATATCACATCTATTATTATTTACATAACAATGCATTTTAGATGGCATGAGTGCATTCTTTAAATTTTGTTTTTATTAGCCTTTCTTTCGTACAAAAGAAATCTAAAAATTGAAGCAAAACAAAGCTCAATTTCAAAACTTGTACTTTGTCATTTTTAACTAATAAAAAAACCCGATGATATTAAAGCAATTTCTTTGAATTTAAACAATAAAAACATTGTCAATTAAACAGAAGAATACCTTTTGCTGTCTATAAATGTGGTAAAAAAGCCAGTATTTGAGCTGATTTCATTTTGAAGCTGTACTGAATAATCATCGAGCTGGACTGGTGAGGAAGGCGAGACTATTTTCGATGCAAAATCGTCTTAAAATGATAACTAGCAAGCTTGAAACTTCACAAATGCAAAATCCTAGTTCAATTCTTCAATGAGAAAGCTTTTGGTATTTCTTGTTGATAGTTTTTGAGTACTTTTTTCTCTGTTATCGGCGAAGTACCCGCCATTTTGGATTCTTGAGAAAATTTTCAGTTCGAGAGAGACTGCAAACTAATAGATATGGCTTCCTGTGGTTCGAGAGAGACTGGAAACTTCGAC